AATCTTGCCTCCTATTAATGTGCCTCAATATGAGGAGTGTTCTAAATCCATGTGGATGAGTGTTCTAAATCTGTTTGGATAGTAATTTTGGTTAGCGGAATTTACTACAGCAAGTTAATTTTTGAAATTCTTGTTTGGACACCTCAGACTACAAGTTTTGGTTAGCGGCGTTGGTTGACCCCACAAAAGTTTTTAAAGGAAGAGAAATTCTTTCATTCACGTGAAATGGTCAGAAATGCGAATTTAATATCCCATCAAGGGCCAGACACCCATGCTTTGTCTGCCCCGTGATCCGTTCGTTGGTCTTTCTAATAAAACGACCTGCAAAACCTTCGTTTAACTCTTTTCTCCCCCAAAACTACTCTATGCAGCTCTCTCCTCCTGCAGAAGCATTTCACCCCAAAATCTTAAATTGCCTAACTTGCTTGTGCGACCAAGTACCGAAGAAATATATTTGCAGAAATCGGTTGGCTGTCACAGTGGGTTGATTAAGCGCTTGGTTTGTTCTAAAGGGTTTGAACGAAGAAGGAGATCGTCTGGGTTTTTAAAAGCCATAGGCGCAGACGGCGTTGTGGATACCGAACGCAGAAATCAGAAATCCAGAAATCTTTTGCGGAAAATCTAAAGGCCAGATTTGTATAAAGTTAAAATCAGATTTGGCAGGTATAATTTTGATATTATCATTTCCTGTCTGAGATTGGTAATATGGTTGTGCGACTCAATTTCATGATTTGGCCGGGATTCTTAAGTGTGTATTTTGTAGGTCTCTATCCCAAAGCCCCTCCCTCGTTTGCCCAATATACATTCACCCGCCCTTCAAAATTTTTTCCTTTACGCATATATTCGGACATTCCCAAATATTCACAGAAAAGAGACAATTTGGAAGCCATCCCAATTCAGTTTTCTTCTTAATCTGGGGCCCTTTTTTCTTTAATTTATATCAGGCCATTCATACGATCTTCAAAATGCTAAAAATGTTGGTGCTATTGCTGGTATCCGTACTAATAGTCTAGAAAATTACGACTTACGATTTCATAGATGTTGTCAAATAGGTTCCCTTTATATAATTCAGATCCGGATATAGGATCTACTAATCATGTTAAAATTTCATATTTTAAAATTAATTCCCCGATCACCTAGAAGTACCAGTGAGCATATTTGATTCTGCCGTGCTCGTTACTTTTTGGTTGAAGCTGCTGGTACAACTTTTATTATGCGATTCTCATTTACCCTAAACTTCCCCGGTTGTCTTTTGTCTTTCATTTCCTTCGGTCTCATCTGGTTTTATGATGAATTCAATAAAGAGTAGTGAAGAGGTTAGAATATTCCTCGGTTATAGCTGCCCTAATGTTCATCTGTCATGCTTCTTCATGCCTTTGTTGTTGATGTAATCCATTTATCACACTTGATGGTTACAACTATATCCCAATATTTCACACTCAACCCCTTATTGCCTTCTATTGCCTTCTATGTAATCCACTCAACTATATCCATTTAACGTTTTGAAGACTTTGCCTTCTATTGCCGGCCATATTAATAATTACAAAGCGACAAAATAGTTTCCCAACTGATCCAAAATATCGAATGGATGCATAGGGAAATATTTGAAACCCAGTAGTAGTTCCCGATCCTTTCTTTATAATAATTTGACATTCTCGGATATTACCTCCACATGTAACAAAAGCATATCTGCCTGCTGCAATAAATATTCCTCAGGTGGTTTATGATCTAGTCTGAGGTCCATACGTGCCATGACCTTTTGACCGAAGTATAGCACCAGTAAATGCCCAACAAGCGGAGGAGATCACTGTCCGGCCCTACTACTCCACCCCGTCTTTCTGAAGCTTCATCCGTCCACTCCGTCACAGACTCGAACGACTACATCCAGTCCCTTATCAACTATTTCAGAGTAAGTTTGGACTCTATCCAAGTTAACTGGCCGTTGTTCTCAAATCAGTCCATTCATCAATCCCAAATAAAAATTTTTGAGTAGTAAAAGCTAATTACCTGCGCTCTTATATTCTTAGGCAGACTAGATTTTATCTCGAACCATTCCCGAGTCCATGGATAAGTATTGCTATTTGGTGTATGCGACCATGATCTCTATAATTGTTACCGTATAATATAGTTTGTATGAGTACTTGTACACCAGCTTTTTTAAGCCTTAATATTCTTATCACTTTGTCCCATATTTAAAACATGTCTATGAATTATAATGGGTTCAAATTTATAGAGATCGTCTCACTGGATAAACCGTATTTCTGTTTCGGTGGGCATTGAAATTCGTACTCTAGCTTTGCACTTGCTTTGCTGCAGTGGCTTTGATAAACAGGATGAATTGCCATGATCTTGTAATCTGTCAATTGTTCTTCCTTCAACCAGATTGTTATTAATGCTTAGCAATCCATTTGGTTTCCTTTTTTCAGATGCCACGAGACCACACCACGGCAAAGGCCCATTGGGATGAAAATATGGAGATTCATTTCTGTATGACATTCGTCGAGTGGAAACGGAGTGGGGAGTGAAATCCAAACGTTGCATCAGAGGCCAATTGGATGAAGCTTGCTGCGCACTTGAATGCCACCTGGGGGAAGCAATATGCATGGACAGTGTACCATTCTAAACTCGCACGGTTGAAGAAGATTTGGCGCTGCTTTGTCAAGTTAAAGGGTCTGTGACAAACTTCCGAAACTGGTATTGGTTGGGACGAGAATAGGAGGTGCTTCTTGGGAGAACCCTCTCAATGGAACAATTTGTGCCTGGTATTTTTTCCTTTCGACGTAAAATTCAGTTCCAAAGCAGAACTAAAAACTTTGGCCAATTCTTTTTGCCATCATTCACTATTCGGTTACCTGTCCATGACATATTTTTTCGCGTATCGATGTATGTTAGACTGCATATTCCATAATAGGCTGTAAAAGAATAAAGTCACGACAGATTCATCTTCGAATTGTGCTCAAAAGAAGTCGTGACCATGCATTTTTTTCTGAGTATTCGTCACCTAATCTATAATAGTATTCTTAAAAGTGGCGAAACTTACTTCTGGACAGTGTAGCTGCATGCGTGCATATCATATGTTAAGGCTGGATTATTGTGATTTTGTCTACAATTCTGTTCCAAAAAAGGATTTTTGTCGAACTCAAATTCTATCTATTAGTTGATTAAGGAAACATATACTACTCTTGAAATGTACCTGTTGTCCTCTCTAGTTTAAAAAAACCAGTTTACATCAGATTTGTATACTCTTGTTTCTCAGTCCTTGTTTTGTCTTTGATTCAGGAGAACAAGGATTATGGATACTTTAGATCCGGCCAATGCGTCGACAAATACGCAATCCTGCACGAGGTCTTTGAAGCAAAAACCGCCACAGGGAGTCAAGCTTAAGCATCTTCAGTACCGCCTTCAATTTACAATCCACGCAAACGAGTTGGGCAAAGTTCTGGGCAGGTTTTCTCATCGCCCCTGGGAGATGAAATGTACAATGCCAGGCAGGGGACTGGTTTCGATGAAGATGCTCCAATTGCTGGAGTGAAGCGAGGTTCAAGCAGCCAAGGGATAACGAGCTCGGGCCCGAGTGCATCCCAGGGAAGCAAGTCAAGTAGAACTACGTCTGATCCATTCGTCGAGTGTGCCAACTCGCTATCCACCCTAGCGAAATCTAAGCTGCATATCAGGAGTCGCCGAAAATCTGAAAAGGAGAAATTTGGACCGGAAATGGCAGCCCAGGTCGTGGAATCGTTCAAAGAGCTGGACAAAGGGGTGAAGCTGGCTGTAGTTTTGGCACTCCAAGATGACAAGTGGCGGAAGACTTTCCTGAGTCTCAGTCGCGAGATGCAAGAGTTTTGGTTGGAGACTCTACAGAGTGCCCTTCCTAAGGGACCCGATGGAAAGTAGACTACACTTGGCCTTGCTTGTGTCCCTTCGGCTTAGCTTACTTTCGACTGAGTAAACTGGAATGAAATTGCGCTATTTCATTTGACTCTAATCACCATTGAAAAAAGATTTGTTTGGGACTTTTGGTACCAATGCAATTGATTTTCTATCTACTGCCAAATATTATTTAGTTTGTATAATTTGTCGATGTTGAGTTGCCATTTTCCCGGTGGAATGAATTGGAACTGTTTCGTTTAAAACTTTGGCTTGGAGTTATATATATTATCGTTACTCTTGTATTAAACATTTAATAAGTAGCTAGTAGTTGCAGATTGATTGCTATGTACAGGAGTAAAACACGAGAGCTTGCCGGACTTGCCGTCTGACATATATATACTTGGTTCGCATATGTAGAGAAGTCAAATACATATATACATATCATGCCTCTGGCAAAGGAAGGAATTATGGTTACTCAATTGCCGGTTACATTCTTTGCCAATTTTCATATACTACTCTTCTACTGCCAAATATAGATGCCACGAGATTTCGTTCCTATCCTGGTTGGAAAAAAAAACTCTTGAAATGTCAGGACTTGGTACGCAGGAGAAAATAGCAAATGAAGCACGAGTGATTTGTAACAAAAGCAAATGAAGTCATGTGTTATTTTTTTTTACTCGATTTTTCATATAAATGAAAAGATCTTCAACATATGAGTCAAGCATATGTAGAGAAGCTCTGCACATACTCAAACGTTACCATATTCATTATGCAAGGCCACCATCTACACAAAAGTCCAAAAGGGAGGAGCAAGAAAGTAGATACTCCCAGAACGCACGTCAATTTGTGCCTGGCAAAAGCTGCCTACAGGTCATTTTTTTGGCATCCAAAGATGACTTATCGACACGGTGAAATAATTGCAGACAATTATTCACGTGATGTTAGGCCATTGGACCCCATGCAAAAAAGACCATAGTCCGATAATATGCTATGCCTTTAAAAGGAACTTAAGAATAACAAAAAGGAAAGAGAGCATGTGATAATTCAGACCTCACACAGCTCTCATATAGCATCCTCTATTTGGGCTAAGCACTTGTTCCTGGCAACATATTTGGTGGGAAAGGTTCCAAATGAGCGAATTCGGGGATGAGCAGGGGACCAGCTCGTCTTCGGACGAAGAGGATGTTCTGTTTGCTGCGGGTGCTGCGCTGCTATTTGGACCAAATGCAGAACCATACGGAGGTCCAATCCAGAAGGTGCCATGCAGGACGTCTGCGCTGTCAGGACGACACTGGGTTGAGGAAGTACTGTCAGGCCACCATACCCGGATCATAGATGCAACAAGGCTAAACGTTGATTCTTTCATGAGGTTGTGCCAACTTTTGGCCGAATGCGGATTTGTTCCCCAAAATTATCAGAAAAGGGTTACAATAGAGGAGGCACTTGCGATGACATTGGTCATGATGAGCCACAACATGAGAATGCGTATGATTGCTGATCGATTTAACCATTCGACGGAGACAGTGCATCGAAATATTCACGAAGTCATTCGGGGCCTATGCACCTTCGCGCAATTCGCAATTACTCCAAGATGGCAGGATGAAATTCATCCGAAAATTCTTAATGACACGAGGTTTTATCCTTGGTTTGAAGTACGGTGACATTCAAAATCCTATCTCGTTGATTCAAAAAATCCTTTGTTCCAAATGCTTTGTCCTCTATATATAAAATTCTTTTTTTCAAGTATGGTGACATTCTAATCTCCCAACTATTTTATTTATTCATGTTCATAGCTTATAAATAGACATGAATATTTTAATTTACGTCAAGGGAACCACCTAATGTTGTTGTTAAGAATTTCTACTTGTTATTGGTTGGATATGTAATTCTGTCCTTAATATTTTAGGTCATCAAATAATTAACAAAATAAGGAAATGCCATATCTTTTCTTGTTTTCGCCTGGTTGTGGAATTTTTGGCTTGAAATTTTGTCTAACAACACTAGGAGGATGAGCACATCATTTTAAAACCAAATGGGGGCTACTAGTTGGCCCTATTATCCTAATTACACTCAACCATAGCTATTACCCTTTTTGATGACTTTACTTCTCTATCCAAGTATATGCCTTATTTTTTACTCTATGAATATACTTCATGAATTGTCTCTATAGCCTTCTTGACAGTGTTAAATGCCTTTTTTTTCCACACGTAATAGAACTAAATGCCAATTTTTCACACTGTATACCCTTCTTTTTCCTCTTATGCATCCTCATAGCTTTCTCACTTGTCCCTCTTTGAACCTGAACTTTTTTCTTCTTTAGCCCTTTCACCTATTCCCATGCGTTTGATGAACTTTGGCCAGAAAAGAAAACAAAAAAGTGATACAGGAAATCTTTTGTTCAACGTTTGGGGGATTCTTGATGTCAAAAACAAATTGGGTAGATTTGTTTTGACGCTGCAGTAGAGATAAGTCTTCTGTCAGAAATTTTGGGTGTGACATGGACGAAGAGTATGCCACTGGAGTGTTTTTTTTTAATGACATTTTAATGCAGATCCATTTCAATGAATCACCACAATATGTCCATTTTAATAATTTATAATTTCAGGACTGCGTTGGAGCTATTGATGAGACACATATACCTGCTTATGCCCCAAGAGAACAGCAAGTGGCATACACTAATCGACACGGTGTACAATCGCAAAATATTTTGGTTGTGTGCGACCATGATATGCGATTTGTGTACGTGTATGCCGGTTGGGAAAGAAGTGCACATGATGCCCGAGTCTTAGATGGGGCTTTGACCGGCCCAAATCACTTCCCCATGCCTCCTACAGGTAATACAAGTAATCCCTCCCTTCACGTAAATTTGGAAAGCAATTGCATATTTTTATCCCAATCCTTAGCAGACCGAATGATATATATATTGGATCTCTTAAATTGCTGTCTTAAATTTGGCTTAGCAAGTATATTTGTTTTGCCTTTTTCAATTGAAAAATCTGGCGTAAATGGACACTTCAAATTGTTTATCAAATCGTACCGATATTCAATAAATTGTACGAATGATCCGAAAGTTAGAAATGGTCAAAACTAATTCGGTCGTATCTCATAATTGACTTAGGAAAATATTATTTGGTTGACTCCGCGTATCGAAACTTGCCCGATTTCTTACCACCATATAGGGGACGCTAAGCTAATGTTAGTGGTCGCAGGAGGGGGAGATTTGCAACTGCGAAAGAGCTGTTTAATTACCGGCACTTTGCACTACGGAATGTCATAGAGCGTAGTTTCGGTGTCCTAAAAAGGAGATTTGCCATTTTAAGGGGAGCCGTTCCGAACTACATGATGACAACACAGATAAATGTAGTTATTGCTTGTTGTGCCGTGCATAACTTCATTAGGGATCAACAGCCGAATGATATGTACTTTGCTGACGCGGAGGAGGGAGATCTAGATATTCATGGTGCAATTCCTCCTTATCCCGAGATACAGCCATTGCATTCTCCGCCTGAAGTTGTTGAGCAATGGATTGCCATGAGAGACACACTGGCGACGCATATGTTCAATGCCTATAGAAATAGACGACAACGTGCATGAAACAGTTGAACCCATGATTTGATATTCGCTAGAGGCTCCTACAGTAATAAGTGTACCTTTAATAATTTGTCATGCCCAACTATATATCTTGTGATGCCAAATATGGTTGTTGTCTGTCGTTGTAATTCTATATTTGTAATTCTATATCCCGTATGTGCCAAATATAGTTGTTGCATGTCGTTTGCTATTTGTATCAGCAAGTAAAGAGTTTTATATGTCGGTCTCTAGACAAGCGTTGCTGTAAAACTTAGGGCAAATTTTCCTCGACTCAGACACCTTTCCTAATTCTTTTAAAATTGTTTAATAGTTACAAATTAAATAAAACAACGCGTCAATTGTTTAACTCATGCTTTAAGCCGTCCCGCGAATTATAGGTGATTGCAAACAAAAAAAAAACCGAAATCATCAGGGTGTGGCATGGGCCGCGCATACTAGAGAATTCCAGCATTCTCCTCCATAGATGGTGGACAGACTTGCCCGAACGTGGAAATCCTCTGCACCTGGCCGATTTTTCATGTTACTCATAGTATATATCGTCCTTTGTAAATTTGATGGGTTTCCCCCAGAAACCGAATTGTTAAATTTGACCACTGCAAAGTAGCTCAACAAAAATTCATCAGGTGCCAATTCATCAGCTGCCAATTGCCGTGGATTGTCCTGTCACGTTCGTAAAGTGAATTGAAACTGTGGGACCCGGTCAATTTCATATAATTGGCCCATACACACCACTCTGGTGAAGTGCCAAAAGCATTCAAGAATCCATCTCTCTCCTGTAGTGGGACCGCACTCCAAAATTTGACTAAGGAAGTGAAATCTGTTTCATTCCTGACAATTTCATAATTACGCACTAAATTGTACTCCCTCCGGACTGCCACAATTCAAATTACAAACATCCAAAACAAAACATCTTCACATATTACAAATCATACAAAACAAATTTGCAATCCAAATCACACAAATTCTTCCTATCCAAACAAACTATTTTGGAGAGCTGTTCGTTTCTTCTGCATTTTCAGACGAACGAGGGAGAAGGGTTTTTTGCTTTCGGATCCAAATTTGGGCTAGGGTCTTGATGTTGGGCCTAACTTAGAAACAAAAGGCGTTCGGGCTTTTTAGTGCTTGCTGTACAAAGAAACCAATACCATTTGGTCAAAATGACTAAATGAGCGCTTGCAGGAGAATATTTGTAAATGGAGCAAATCATCCGGTTATGTATCAAACTTTTGAAATGATATGTTTTGGCCATTCCCAATAAAGGAGTTGGCCACTACTGTATATAGTGGGGTGAGAGGTCAATGGTTCAAACCTTGCCTCTCATCAATGTGCCTCAATATGAGGAGTGTTCTAAATCCATGCGGGTGAGTGGTGCACCCGTCTGGTCAGATGGTGGTTAAATCCCCATCAGATTCCCCCGACTCAATTGGCCCATTCCCTAGAGTCGCTTCCCTTAAAAAAGTAAGTCCCCCCCCCCTTAGGAGTAGGAGTAGGCTAGGCTAGGTTAGAAGTTGCTGCTAGTGGAAAAAAAAATTTTAAGAGTAAGAAGTTATTAATTCAACTTCCAAACATGCATATTTTTGGGTCATTAATTCAACTTCCAAACATGCATATTTTTGGAAGTTATTAATTCAACTTCCAAACATGTTTTGGGTCCTTCTATTTGTTTTCACTGTCAAATCTACATCTGAATCTCGCTTATGTTCCATGATTTATGAGAATTCTTAGATGTGACAACTTGATGGTGAAATAGATCGAATGACTCAAAATATACATGTTTAGGAGTTGAGCGAATAACTTCATGTTCTTAAAAGTTGAGTAGCAAAAACTTATCATTTCAAAAGTTAGGTGAGTTTCTCGATAATTTGATATTATATATATAGAAGTGTTGCTTGCATTTTACCTACCTTAGGTTTGGCCAAATTTTTTTAACCCTTACTTTTTTTCCATCAAATCAAAAACTAATAATTACTTTCAATTAGATTAGGACATGTGGATGAAAGAAAGATAAGAAGAAAATCATGTTTGAAAATAGGGGTGTTCAACTTTCAGGAAAAAAAAACCGAATAACTAGCCTAGGTCGGATATCAGATATTGGTAAAACCGAATTTTAAAAAAACTAATTTATATCCAATTTTTAAAAATTAGTAAAATAGTTTTGGAAATGGATATTGAAATTTGATTCTTGAATTCTTGAATTATATACACACACATACACATATATTGTGTGTATATAATATTTATATATGTGTGTGTGTGTGCACGTGTGCGTGCGTGCGTGTACACACTTATATATATATATATATATATATGTATGTATGTATGCATGTGCATGCGCAAGTGGCACATTTAATTGAAGAGAATTAATGGGTCAATGAATACTTGGAATTTACCTATTTTTCATCTAACTCTCTTCTAATCAATTTTACTTAAAAGTAATCTTTTTTCTAACAACTTCTATCTTTTTTTAATAAATTGAATTAATCTTTTTATCTATATATGGTAACTTTGATTAGTGTAAATTTAATCATTACATAGTAAATCTATTAAATTTGATAAAAAAAAGTAATAAAATATTTGTGTAAAAATATGTTGCTGCATTTTTTTTCATCTTGAATTGAAAATGAATATGAATAGTTTTATAATCATATTCATGAGAAAATTTAAATACTACCCCAAAGAATACCTATTATTTTATTTTTTTTATCATTATATTATATAATGAATATTATCACATTGTAATAAATTAACATATATAAGTCTTTAAAGACTAAAATGGGAATTAAATAGTTGGAATGCAATAGTTTCATGACGTAAATATGAATAATATGTAAAAACATCATCGATGAATTATTTATATCTTGCACTGATCATAACTAATCACAATTAAAAAAAAGGGTGATACTAAATTCATACCTCTATATCCTAAATCCAAATCTGATGTAACTTTTAACACTAATAACACAAGTTATCAATGCTCGTGGTACAAGTCATTAATGTATTAGGGTATGGATTGAAGCTATAAACATGTGACTTTAGTCCATTACAAAAAGAATATTTCATGATAATGCACATGCCAAATACTAAAGATAACCAATGGGATAAGAATCGTATCTTACTTTTTTTTTTCAGCAATAGACAGTATGGAACTTAAGAAATTGGTAAGAGGGCACGGGAATTTGAATTCAAGATCTCTAATTGGAATGATTTCATAGAACTTCATTTGATCAAGAAGAGAAGAAGAGTGAAAAGTCATTGAATGTTCTTTGAATCCTTTTATTTATAATACTCCGAAAGGCCTTTAATGAATTAGTATCATAGATACATTTAAATTGACAAGGACCTTGCCATTTATAATAAAAGATGTATCTCCTTAGAATTAACCCCTATCAATAATTACTAATAGTTAAAATATTTATGTTAAAGTCATAAAGGGTCTGTCTAGCAGGTGCATATAGTACAGTCATTAAAATATATTTCAATTATCATATTTTTGAAAATGTAAGATTAATTAAGGAAAGTATATAAATATAAAAGCGGGTAGATAAGATTAAATAGGAAAAATATAGAAATACAAAAGAATGTAATAATTGTTAATATGTGTATATACATGATAGTTTAGAACTTTAGATGAATGTTAGGTATATTAATGGGTGCCCTATAGGCACCTATTAGAAAAACCTAATCATAAATATTAATTTTAGATTTTGAAGGCCCAAGACCCAGAGTGCCCCAAGTTCCCATCTTTGAGCATGAAATAAAGATTAATCTAATGGTCAATAGAAAATAAACCAATATGAAATTTTGGAGTTTCTTTTCAACATTTCTCACCACCATGATTGAATGAATTGGTGTAATGTTTAATATATATCTTTTCATTGCCTCGTAATTTTTCAAAGCAGGATTTTTTTTTTTTAAATGATAGAGGATTTTATTGAATTAACTAAATTTTATAGTATTTGAGCAACGGTTCAATCATCTTTACAAAAGTGTACCTTGACATTTAAGGAGTAGCAAAAATTCTCTCCTTATCTCTAAATATACCTAATGCATTTGAATTGAATCTATTACATAGATCCATATTATCAAAAATTCCTACACAAAAAGTAGTACAATTGAAACAAACTAGTTAATGCATTGATATCTACCTCCAATGTAGACATTTGGATGTCTTTCCTTGTTCTTGCACTTATCAAAGCAATGAGTTGCCTTTTTTCACATATAATTCTAACCGGCTGCGACTGCTACTCTCTTAATTTAATCAGAGCTAATCTTATTGCTTCACCCTCATTTTTGCTTTTAGTTTTGAGCTTCTCTCCACTAGCATTCTGCTAGAATTTGATCTCAATTCTGCTTAGCTACAATTCCTATTCTCAACTTATGTGCCTTTTTGTTGTTTTCAGTAGCTACCTGGAGTTCAGTATTATCCCCTTCACTATTTCCTTCCTTCTCCACTTTACTATTTCCTTCCTCCTTCCCCTTGTTTCTATTGTGCTTCTATTTTCCTTCTTTTTAACAATTTCTTCTTACTCCATGCATCCGTTTACTACTTGCTCGTTGAATTATTCTAATTCCTTCTTTTTGCTTGCCATTGAATTCTATGTCATTTATGTCCTTCCAATTTGCCACAGGATGTTAGCAGTCAGGGCCAAGTGTTTTTGGCCATCCCTTCTCCTTCTTGCTTAAGCTATTGATACCCACCATTTCCTGAAATAGTCAGTTTGGTTCTGAACTCCATCCTACTGAATTGGTGCTAGTTGCTATGTCTACTTGGCTTGATGGTAGTGAAACAGTGTATGTTCTACTGTTTCCAATTGCTCTCCACATCTTGCACAAATTAGAGATCCTTGCTTTATTCTCTTGAATATTACCTCTCTTTCTGGCAATGTATCTGTGATATACTTCCAAATAAAGATCTTGATTTTGTGCTTTGTGTTCAGTCCCCATACAGCCTTCCAAATCTATGCATTGGAATCATCAAAGCTTGTTCCTGCCTCCTCTGTTCC